TACGCACCTGGAATGATCTTGCACTGCTTCATGGTCTCCATCAGGCTGTACATCTCTTCATCCGTCAGCAGCAGGTTGAGGTTGTCCTGGGGTGGAGGACAGAGAGGAGCCATGGGGCAAAGGCATGGGATGGAGGGAGCACCTGTCTGTGCCATGGCACAGGGATCCCTTGAAGGCACATGGTTGCAGGCACATAGAGAGGCATGGAGTGCTGTGTCACCCAGGGGTGCCATGGTGGGATGGCTCCACACCCTTGGCCTTTTTGTGCCCAGCAGCTTGTTCATGGTGCCGTGTCCTTGCCAAGGTGCTATGGGGCTGGCTGCAGCAGTGGGGACGTGGCAAAGGTCCACTCTCTCCTGATGTCTCCCCATGAGGCCAAAGTGGTGGCAGGAGCTGGGGAGCAGCAGGTTCCCCATCACCTTGCACCAGGCTGAGATGTGGGACCCTGCTCCTCACCCTGTGGAGCACCCACCCCGCAGCAGAAGCCCGGTGTCCCCCACCCCATGCACTCACGCAGTAGTAGCAGCTCCAGCCCGTCTCGGTGTGCGCTGTCTCGGTCACCTCCACGGCGCTGTCGTTCTGCAGGTAGCCCATGCGGCGCAGGCAGCCGTCGTGGTACACCCGGCTGCAGACACGACATGGAAAGAGGCTCTCGGCTGTCCACACCTCACAGATCTCACACATCTCGTCATTCTGGACCTGGGGGGACATGGGTAAATGCTCAGAGGGGCAGCATGCACAGGGCGGGTGGCTCCTGAAGGTGGGGGTCAGGGTAGGGATGGGTCATAGGGGGTAAAGGAGATGGGAGGGTGGGATTGTGTGGGGCTGGTGTAAGGAAAACGTGGGTGGTGGGGTTGTGGGGGACATGGCTGGTTGGGTTAGAGGAGGATGGGTGGGTTTGTGGGGATGAATGGAGGGTGGATGGTTGGAGGTACTGTGGGGTTGTTGGTTCCCTGGGGTGCAGTGTGGTAGGTGGGGTGGCTGGGCTGTGGAGTTGTAGGTTGGCTGTAGTGTGGATGGGTGGAAGTGCTGATCTGTGGGTTGGCTGGTTGTAGCTGTGGATGGGTTAGCTGTAAGGTTGTAAGTGGGCTGGGGTGTAGGCTTGTCAGGGTGTGTGTATGGATGGGTAGGGTCATGGGTGAGGACGGGTGTAGGATTGCAGTCATAGGTGGATAAGCTGTTGGGTTGTAGTGGGTTGACCTGTAGGGGTTGCAGGTGTGGATGGATGGCTTGAGTTGTAGGCTGGCTGGGTGTAGGCTGACAAACAACATAGAATCATGGGCTCCAGAGCAGAGCTGCTCCTCTGATCATCTTCGTGTTCTCCTCTGGACTCACTCAAGCAGTTCCACGTCCCTCTCATGTTGGGGGCCTCAGAGCTGGAGCTGTCTGTGC